ATTGGGCCAGTTCTAATGCCACCTTAATGTTACAATTACTTCCTTTTGCTCAGGTGGGGGTTCCACTTGAGATCCTTCCACCTTGGTCTCCCCAGGTACTGGGATTACAGGCCTGTGTAACCTCTCCTAGTCACACACTTCATCCCAATATCTGGAGGACACTGATTTTGCCAGCCTGGCACAAAACAAGTCACTGGGTTGTACTGTTGCACCATTCAAACCCGCTGCCCCCTGCCCCCCCCACTGCTCCAACCACTCCCAATCTATGTGACTGCTCCTGGCCCAGGTTTGTCTGTTGCCCATTTCTGATACTGTGAGAGAAACAGAAGTGCAAGCTCAAGGGTGGCAGACACCTGGGGGACAGCGGAGACTGGAGGGAAATGAACACCTGCTTTCCCTTCAGAGAAGGCTGTTTCAGTACTGCCTTCTGGAATTACTGGGGGCAGAACATGCCATGTAAAATCTGACTTTTTATACTTATTTATGTATGTGTGTTCATGTGCATGTGCCATAGCAAGCCTGAGGAGGTCAGAGGACAACATGCAGAAGTGGGTTTTCTCCTTCCATCTTGTAGGTTCTGGGACTGAACTCAGGTCATCCAGCTTGTCAGCAACTGCTCTTACCCACTGAGCCATCTTGTGGGCCCAAAGCTGATTTCAATGCAGACTTGGTTTGTTTGTTTGTTTTTTAAACTCGGTGCTAGACTGATAAAGCATTTCTTTCATTTGGTTGTGGTTCACATCTCCAGTGTGTCAACAGGGAGGTATGGTGAAAGAATTTGCATTAGTGAGCTAGCTCCTAGATGTGCAGCTCTGATGTCTAATAAAGATTCTGGAATATTATGTGGAACCGAAGAGAGGCGGGAATAACACAGGCTTCAAGTGCCACAGAGGTTTCAATCTTGAGGCTACTGTAACAAGTAGTGAGACTTTGCTTTTGGATAAAAAGCACTGAGACCCACAAAGACACTAAATGTAGGTGAAAGCCTGGCATCTGGTCTCCACTGTGCACCTGTCTCCTTCACTTCGGCTCAAACACTTGCTTCATTCTACAGAGGCATGTTAATCACGCGAGCAGTGTTAGTTTACCTAACCTAGCTCATCCCCTTGAAGGCTAAAGACAAAAAATAGGTCCTTGTCCTATAGCTGGTAACCTTGGTTTCCAGGAACAGGGACATCTCACAGGACAGACTACCCTCCAGATGAACATAGCAGTCTATGCTGGGCAGAACTAATCATCCTGTGGGAACCAGACTGCTCCCCTCAAGTGGTAAAATACATAACAAATTCTTTGGACTACCCAACAGAGATGAGAACTGAGCCAACAAGTCCACACCACGACCAGGATTGCTTAATTATGTATGTATCGCTCTGGCTTTCTGCCCCAATTCCTTCCCTATTTAAACCTAAAGTTCATATTGCGTCCTTGAAGACGAGCTTGGGGTCAGTGTACCCTTTTCATCCCTCTTCTCAATATAGAGATTGAATCTCCTTTCTGTTTTTTCACCATTACTTGGTTTTTTAATCAGAGTACTGGGATTGGAGCCAAGCCTAGCTTGTTAGAACTGAGGCTAGGATTCTTCCCTAAGATTCCAGGCACATTACTAGCCGCAAGCCCCCAAGTTAAGCAGTAACTCCTCTAAGCATGACTCCCTTCTGCAGAATGGGCTGTAAAACTCAGTGTAGACAGATTTGAGAGAATTAAGCATTTGTGAGGGGACTTGGGAGATGGCTCAGGGGGTAAAGGATGAGGACTGAGTTCAGGTCCCCAATATTCACATAAAAAAGCCAGACATGGCCATGTCTGTCTGTAACCCAGGAACCAGAGGTGGAGGCATAGACAGATGGGTGCTCAAGGCTTGCTGGCTGACACGGTGAACTTCAAGCTTAGTGAAAGAAAAATTAAGATGGAGAACAACAGAGAAAGATACCTGACATCAGTCTCTGTCCTCCACAGGCACATGAACAGGTGAGCACCCCCCCCACATACCATACCCCCAAACAACAACATACATGTGAAGTCAGGCATGGCAGTTTATGCCTGTAATCATAGCACTCAGGAGGCTTAGGCAGGAAGATTGTTCATGAGCTCAAGGTTAGCCTGGGATATGATACACAGTGAGTTCCTTGGCTACAGAGTGAGACCCTATCTTTTAAAAAGTGTATAAATACTAACATGGACTCTGAATAAATGTTAAGTTCTTTTCTACTGTTGTATCTTAAAAAAAAAAAAAGATCAGTGGCTGCAGATGTAGCTCAGTTGCTGGGGTTCTTGCCTAATACAGGAAGCTCTGTGTTCAATCCCCAGTACCACATAAAACTGATAGTGGCGCCCTAGCAGAAGGTGGAGGCAGGAGGATCAGAAGTTAAAGCTTATTCTCAGTTATACAGAGTTTGAGGCTAGTCTGGGCTACATGAGACCCTAGAAAAACAAAATAGAAGGCTGGAGAGATAGCTCAGGAATTAAAAGCACTGTTGTTCTCCCAGAGGACCTGAGCTTAGTTCCCAAGACCCACTTCAGGAGGCCCCAGTGCCAACTCCAGCTCCAGGGGATCTGACACCCTCTTCCGGCCTCCACAGGTACCTGCACACATGTGACATGCATGTGACCTATACACAGATACAAACATAAAAACACATTTTAAATTTTTTCATATTTTATTATTTTTATTTTATGTGTATGCGTGTATTGCCTGCATGTAGGTAAGTGTACCCGTGTTGTGCAATGCCTGTGGAGGACAGAAGAGGCTGTCAGATCCCCTGGAACTGGGGTTACGGACAGTTGTTAGCTGCCATGTGGGTGCTGGGATTAGAACTCGGGTCTTCTGCAAGAACAACCAGTGCTCTTAACCACTGAGCCATCTCTTCAGCCTCCATAAAAACAAATCTTTAAGATGACAAATGACTTGAACTTCTGGCTTCTTTATACTTCCATACCACCTCTGCTAAAGCTAAAACCCCTCCATCACTGCTGCTCCACCTCACAGGAGGAGATGGGGTGATGTGGATGGAAGTCCAGTGTAGAAATACAGAAAAGTAGCACACTATGGATTGCCAACCCTTTCTTCTCATTTCTAGGCCAACAAGGGAATAATTTGCCTTTCTAATGCGTTTATCCCCTTCAGCAATACAGAGTGAGGCAAAGATGGTGTTACATTTGTGGTAATTCCTTAAAATGGCTTTTAGCAATCAGCAATAGCACCATCCTTTAAGGAAAAAGAGGAAACATTAGGTTACTGTCTGGTCACTTAGGGACTTGGCAACTTTCTTTCTCACGCTTTTAAGAAACTAGGGAAGAAACTGAGGTGGTTGTATAATTGTGATCTCAAGCTAAAGCTCTGAGAGAAAAGAATCTAAGCAGACACTTGTGTCCCTCCCTTTACCTATCAGACTACTGCTGTCTTTTTCCTTTCCTTTATAAAATGAGTGTGTTTAACAGGAACCTGAGCTTGAACATGACCTCAAAAGAAAAGATACAAGAAGCTCCTTTGCACTTATCGAAGGAGTAGACCCACTGACAAAACGCTCCTGAGAGACCTGGAAGAGGTGGGGATCTCATCTCACTAAACCACTGAGACTTCTCTTTTTAAATATTTTATTATTTTTGCTTTATGTGTATTCATGTATTTACCTGCATGTATGTAAGTGTACCTGTGCCATGCAATGCCGGTGGAGGACAGAAGAGGGTGGTGGATCCCATGAAACTGGAGCTCGGGAAGGTTGTTAGCTGCCATGTGAGTGCTGGGATTCAAACCTGGGTCTTTTGCAAGAATGGCCAGTGCTCTTAAGTACTGAACCATCTTTCCAGTCCCAGACTCTCCTCTTTTTAAATGAGAAGAGTCTGGGGCTGGAGAGAAACTTTAAGGCCCCAATTCATCAGTCAAGTAACAGAGGACAGAGACAATGGAGGTAACCTGGGGTCCAGGTCTGCTTCTTTCCAGGAAAGGATTGGTTAACTTGGTTTATAGTTACTAGCCACACATCCTAGCCTTTGTTTCATAGCCTTCTATAAACTGTAAGACGGCCACAGGTAGTGAAGGCAGTCATTAGACATGCCTCCCACCCCAATTCAGCCAAATCATCTATAAATCCATCTTCTATTACTAATTTGTTTCCTAATTTCTTGGAAACTGAGGTGGTCGGTTCACTAGTCTAAGTGTTTGGTAACGTGCAGATTTCTTTTATTCATACATGAAAACTGGATCTATGCCAAATAACTTTACATAGGTATTGTGAACTAAGGTGTCCCCCCAACAAGAAAAACCCAAACTTGTGTTAAAGATTCTACAAGGTTGTTTGATTAGAAGAATTTAGAATGTTGCAGATCCAGTACCAAATCATCTTGGGCTATGTTTACTTCCCTTAACTGCCATTCACTGGCTACAACTGTCTAACCTAACATCCTTGTGACTACCAGGTGATACCTTTGGAATGTATTAACAGACCACTAACTTCTACCAACTCAGAAACCAACAGTGTCATCAGACAGCATCCGAGACCTACAGCAGCCCCATTTCGCTGCCTCATGTTTCCATCAATCTATTTTTTAAGTGACTCTCTTTTGTTCTAGAACTATAAAATGGCAGTGAAACCATGTCTACACTAGAGCATGTTATTTAGGAAACCCTGAATCTGTGTTCCTGGGCAATAGTCACTCAGATTTGGCTCAAGAGTAATCTATTTCTTATTTCCTTTGAGGGCTTTTTGTTGAAAGTGCCATTCAGAATTCACTGTATTTGCCAACTGTGAGAGGACTTTTATTTTTCTCGTTTCTACATACTATACTGAAACCAGCGTGTACAGTAGATCATTGCTCAACTGACTTTAAAATGTCTCCACAAGTTTATTCAGACTAGTGAATTTATTTGGGCAAGGTCTAAGCTGAGGGGATTTTTCTAACTCTGCAGCATTCATCTGTCACAGGTACAGTTTTATGTGGTGTCTTTAAATCAAAGAAGCATGAAATTAGTTGCAGTGACGTTACTACAAATGTGAGTTTACCTTTCAGAAGTCTGTCTCCACTTCTTCCATTTCCTGGACTGTAACAGTTCCTCCACTTTTGAAATTTATCAATCAAGCCTGATAGACCAAGTAGGAATTACAAGGTAAGTGCTGAGAAAAAAGGCGAATATAAATATTACCCCACATACACCCAAAGCAGGGTTCTTGAAAAAGAATGACATGGACCAGGTAAAGACTGTGTCACTTCTTTACTGAATATTTATCTGTCATGATCCTTGAAGCAAAGTGGAAATGAAAAAAAAAAAAAAATCACAGATCTTTTCCAAGGATTAAGTAGATCCCGACTCATTTTACGCTGTCTTTATTATGTAAACTTCTGGACATATAGCGTGCTTCGAGAGACACACACTCTGGTCTCTTTTGTTGGGTGAAGGGTGCTAGGAATCCAATACAGGACCTGGATATGCCAGGCAAATGCTCTACCACTCAATCACACCCTTAGCCCTGGCCTGTTTTTCTGCTGAGTCTAACTTGGAAGGGATTTGAGCCATTGGGAAAAATTGCTAACACATTTGATATAACCTCCCTGACTGGAGGCAGCGGACAGCCTTGCTAATGCCCAGTGTGCAGGTAAAGCTGAGCCAGCACCCACCTGCAGCAACCTGATCCACTTAGCAAACACCTGTGCCTTCTCCCTGTGTGAGAGAGATCAAGACTGTAATCTTTTATGATAAGTCTTGTAAGGTAGACTTCACATGAAATTTATGTAAAATGAGGCTATGTGGAAGGCCTTGAACCTCGAATCACCTTCAGAGCCGAACTTACCTTCTGCCAAAAACAGGGGTCCTGCTGCTTGTAAAGGGAAATGCCCACCATATGCAAACAGAAATGACAAGGACCTGCATGTCTACCATCCAGCTTCAACTACTGACCACTCATAGCCCAGTGCTCCCCCAACTAGATTACTCTGAAGCTAATCCCTAATTTACATTTTAAATTCAGTCAGTGCTCCCCCAACTAGATTACTCTGAAGCTAATCCCTAATTTACATTTTAAATTCAGTCAGTGCTCCCCCAACTAGATTACTCTGAAGCTAATCCCTAATTTACATTTTAAATTCAGTCAGTGCTCCCCCAACTAGATTACTCTGAAGCTAATCCCTAATTTACATTTTAAATTCAGTCAGTCACTCGAAAAGATCCGTTTTTTTCTGTTCCCCCCCCCCCCCCCCCCCCAAAACTCACTATGTAGAGCAGGCTGGCCTTGAACTCACAGAGATCAGCCTGCCTCTGCCTCCCAAATGCTGGGACTACAGGCGTGCGCCACCACGCCCAAGCCCATTTTTAAATAATGTAATGATGGGGCTGGCAAAATGGCTCAGGGGGTAAAGGAGTCTTTCTGAGGAGCCCCGGAATCCACCTGGTGGAAGGAAATAACCAACTTCCGAAAAGTTGTGCTCTGACCCACACACCTAGCATTCACACGCCTGCACACACACACACACACGATAAATACAAAGTTTGTAAATTAATTATGATACCCTTATTAAAACTAAATAAATTTCCTCCATTCTCTCAAATTCAAAAACGTTCCAAAACCAGGACCCAATCAAGGCCCACACATCGCTTTGCTCATGAAGGCCCTGGTTTTTAACATCACAGGTCTCCAATTCCTGAAACTCTCACAGGAGCCAATTCCCACTAATTCTAAGAACTCTTCTGGGAAAAACACAAAGCAACGCCAGTCATCGGCTTTATCAGGATTTGTACGTTTATATATACGACGCCCACGCAGAACAACCGTTCGTGTGTCCTCTGTAGCGGCGTGGGTTATCTCTGGCATCTGAGCAACATTCCCCTTACCAGATCATTGGCACGCGCGGGGGACAAGGCGGGCCCGTTTCCTTCCCCGCGTGGCCAGGGCGGTGCAGTGGCCTCTCCGCGGAAACGCGCCACCTTCGCTACCATCTGTGCAGGACGAGAAAAGGTGGTTCAGCCTCCGAGCTGCCCAGGGCGGGACCAGCCGGTGCGCTCCGGAACCCACAGCTCCGCCAAGCCCAGGCTAGCCCCGTGACCACGGTGCGCAGACACCAGGTGGGGACCCGCTCCTGACCTCACCTGAGGCCCAAGGCTCGCGCGTTCGCGGCCACGCCCCGGCCGCCCAGCTCCTGGAAGGGAAGCCCTCCTCTCACGACGCGCCTAGGCCCGGAAGACGGCAGCCCAGCGCGGGGCTCGCCACCGGTACCGCCCGCTATACCGACTAGCCGCCGCTCGCGCTCCCAGTGCGGAGCGCAGCGCAAGGCTCCACCAGTCAGCCCCGCACCTGCCACGCCCAGCCCACCTCAGCCTCCCCGCCTCGCCACACCCACCTCCTCTCCGCCCCGTCCCAGGCGATTGCTCAGAGGGGCGAGGCCACACCTCGCTCACCTCCGCCTGCCCCGCCCCTTCCGCCTTGCCCCGCCCACCTCCTCTCCCTCTGGGGGCGGGGCCACGCGGCGCTCCTCTCCACTCGCCCCGCCCACCTCTGCTCAGTCCCGCCCTGAGTGACTACCCAGAGGGGCCGCCCGGCCCCAGCGTTCTGGGACTAGCAGATGCCACCTTGCTGTCCCTCAGCCGGCTCAGACAGGAAAAGCAAGCTTTGGCATCCTATAGACCGTGAGTGCGCACTCCTCGCGTAGGCCTGAACTGGCAGTGGGGCGCCCCCTGCTGCTGGGGCGGCGAGAGGCGACCGAGGCTGCCAGCGCTGGCCGGTTGGAAAAAGACTGGCTGAAGTTGGCAGACAGCTGCCTGGGGTGCAGGTGCGGGAGACCCCTTTCCTGGTGCCCGGCCTTGAACACCTAATCCCAGACCAAGAACTTCCCCAGGTCCTCATCAGACAGAGCCGAAAGGACGTTGTTGTGTCACCACCGTTTATTCTGTAACCAGTTTCTCAAGTTTACCCTTTGGCAGTTGTCTGCAGATGACAATGTTCACACGGCGGCATAACTTGATACCTGCGTGCCCTCTAAGCAACCACCTGTAGTGTACTATGAATTCTGACTTTTTAATCAAAGTCTGCAAATAGCACACATATTGCAGTTGCTTTTCGGTGTCCAGTGTTAATTCGGTACATATTTGTTGAGTACCTATGATTTGGCACAATTTCCTCCTACTCCTCTCCAAGCAGAGCCTTGACGAACAAGGTTGTGGCCTAAGCCTCTCCACCTCCCAGGGATGCTGAACCGGCCCTGCCAGAAATTCAAAATTGCAGGAGGGGCCAGTAAAGGCCCCACAAACCTTAAGTGTGTGCTGCAAAGAGAATTGCAACTGTGTGCTGCAGAGGGAGTTTCTGAGTGCCCACTTCCCAGGTCAGAGGGGGGGCATCCAGGAGAAGGGGACAGAACAATGAAGTCACTTGAGGCTGTGAGGTACTTAAGCCCAGAGCCTCCCCCCACAGTCCCAGGGTGGGGCAGAGCAAGGGATAGGACACTGAAAATACCTACGGGATCCCTACTGCAGAGAAAGGTTTGTGAGGTCAGATGGCAGGCCAAACAAACACAGCCACCATCTGTGGAGTGTACATAAAACAGGAGGTGCCAAACCGCTCTCCAAAATGTGCACACCAACCCTACAAGCTAGGCTTATCCCTGGCCTTTACAGAGGGGGACAACCAAGTCCAGGAAGGAGAGGTAGCTTACTAGCAGCAGGGCTGAAGGAAGGGGTTCTGAGGAGCCAGCCTACAATTTCAAAGCCTTTCTCCACAACCATTCAGGAGGCTGAACTTGTCTTGCAAGGCTCCTAGCACCCCTACCCACAGCAGTCTCTCCATTCCCTAATTTACTACCACCAGCTACAGAGAGACTTCTCCCATTTAGAAATGTTAGGATGACTGCACACCAGAATCCTCCCAGGGGAACCTGTTTTGGGGGCTGGTGGAGGGATTGTGGTAGACCCTCCTTTGTTTCCCAACATCTTTTCCATTCTTCTATAACAATAGAGCTGAAGCTGAGCCCACGGCCTTTTCTGCCTCCTTTCCAACAAGATTCACCCAGAGTAGCAATGTGGTGGTTAATCTTCCTGGTCAACTTGAGTGGATTTAGAGTCCCTGGAAACACATCTCTTTCACTGAAGTTGGAAGACGAGCCCTGAGTGTGGATGGAGCATCCGGTGGGCTGGGGTCCTGGACTGGATACAGAGGAAAGTGGATGGGCAGTCAGTATTCATCTCTCTCTGCTTCCTGACTGGAGGCAGTGTGCCCAGCCGCCTCACATTCCTGCCACCCTGCATTGCACCCTCCAGCTGTGAGCCAAAACAAACCCTTCCTTCCTAAAGTGGCTTTTGTCAGGTATTTTGTCGCACAAATGAAGAAACTAACTGATACAGGTGCCTAGGCATCTGTTCTGTCACATCTCTAATCTGTCAGATTTCTGCATGAGATAGAGCATCTCCATCTTAACTTGCTATTCCTGGGGTGGGCAGACTGGGCATGATTTGGGCCAGTGAGATACAAGAGAAAGTTCTGGAAAGGGTTTTGCTTTCTGGAGGAAGATCTCCTTTTTTCTGGTTTCCTTTCTGCAGTGAGCTGGGCAGTAATCTTAGACTACAGGGAAAAATAAGAGAGAAAGAGAGGCTGCGCCCTCTCTGACTTGCCTATCTTTAGACATCTCATGACATGAGAAAAAGAAACTCCTTCTTGTTTGGGACACTCACGGTCAGTTATGTTATGTGCAATTGAACGCAATAACAGATATACTATTCTTTCCAAAGACTAAAAATTGTTCTAGGCACCCCACCTACCTATCAGGGTGTCACTGCAGAAAGAGAGTGCTTTGGAGAATGCAAGAAACCAGGTTTGAGTTTCAGCTCTCCCATTTATGATAGCTAATGTCCTAAGTTAGTGAAATTAGATTCTATGTTGTAAAGTTAGACGCTATTGAAAACCACCACCACCACCAATAGCATGATACATAGTGCTTGGTACATAGGGAATGATTAACCAGTAATCATTGAGATCTTATCTACCATACCAGTTCACAACCTCCACCAAATTGGTCTCTGGCAAATGTGTGAATTCAAAATCACATATTCATTTCCCAGTTCACTTCTTACACAAATCTATTGCCTTTTTAGATCTTCAGTGCTTTGTAACAGCAAACTCAGTCTTCAAGTTTGATTATACACTATCGTTTGCCTAGTATCTTACTTGTTTCTTTGTTTCACAGACTGCTCCACCAAAAAGTTTAAAAATGGAAAGAAATGCACGCTGTGTTTCAGTCAGGCATGAGCTTTTACTAGTTTAACAGGTAAAGTGTATATTTCTATTTGGCTTCCAGTTCTTTTTAAAATTATTTTTATTTTTAGACAGGATCTCATTCTGTAGCTGTGGCTGGCCTGGAACTCATTATGTAGACTGTTAGAATCTAGAGAGTGGGAAGGAAAATGGAGTCAGGGAAAACAGACCGATGCCAGACCTACAACAGGACATAGTGGGTGACAGCCACCTTCCCACAGGTCGGAGACAACTGTTGTGTATGAGGAGAGGCAGTGATAATATAGTGTCTTGGATATGAGGAAGCTGATATGGCTGGGGGGGAGGTCTGCATGTCTCTGGTCATGTCCTCTTAGTGTCTTCTAGGACAAGATATTACTTTAGGAAAAAAAGAACCCCTTATTGGCCTCCCCAGCCTCTACCTATAGCAGAATTAGGGACATTTTTGGATTAGGTATTTCTGACATCCCTAGCCTCATGCAGGACCAGGCTTATTCCCAGATCCAAGGGACTTTCTAACTCTCAGCCCAAAGGAAACTGGTCATTGTTCTTTTGGGGTCTTCACCCTAAGCTGCCTAGCCAATTTCTGCTTCCTGGTCTCATTATTCCTCCCTCTGAAGAGGCAACCCCAATTGCCAATGGGGAATTTGGATGTTAGTCTTCCTGGCTTCTTCCATGCTGAGTAGAGATGCAGGGTGTGGCAACTGCGTTACCCCTTCATTGATCTATTTTTAAAAAACAACCCAAAAGTATAGCTATAGAGAGAAAAGAAAATCCTTGACTGGTGCCTGGGAGATGTGAAGAAGTAAAGGCAAGAGTAGTTAGGCACGAGTTTTAGGCAGGGAGCCAGGAGAAGTCAGAACAGGGTGAATCTTAAATACCCAATTCAAAGTCTGTTAGAATTTCTTGATGAGGGCTTCCAAAAGCATCCATTTATTGGGTTTCTCCTCATCCTTTATTTGGCTGGACTCATGATCTACTTTTCAGGCATTTTGATAGCTCTTGGAGTGGCTAGAATCACAGTATGAGTTCCCTCTTAAATGGCTTCTAGACAGGGAGAGAAGAAATTTAGCCATCATTTAATTTTGATAAGGACAATAGTGAGTTTCTCCTTTTTGGCTACAGGTACGTGCTGCAGTGTTGAACTAGGCCAAGATTTGAAGTCTTACACCTGAGTACTATTTTCTTATTACGAACAAGATCATTAGTGAGAAATAATTGTTTAAATAATATCTAGGCCTAATGTTTGGGAAGTACAGTTCCTCGGACTTTAAAAGAAACATGTTGGGTCAGGCGTGGTGGCGCACGCCTTTAATCCTAGCACTCAAAAAAAAAAAAAAAAGAAACATGTTGATAATTCTAAGTTTTGACTGTACTTTCTTTTTGTGTGTTTAAGACCATACAGCTGACCCAGATTAGTTGAAATTTTGTTTTACTGTGAACGTCAGTTGAGGCTCTGGTCCTCAGATGTCAATTAGGCTTTGGAGGGCACCCCAGGCTCATTTGGCTTTCCTTTAACCAGTTCCATCTATGTGAGGCCAAGTCAGAAGGTCCTGCTTGACTGGGGCTTCACTTGGAATCACAAAACTTTTTCCTGTGCTGACCCTCCTTCTTATAGACTGGACACTGGCTTGAGTCCCTCTAGTGGGGTCTCCATGACCTCCCTGAACAAGAGGACAGGTGACTCACCATAGTGACAAGACATTTTGAGAGCTGACCCTTAGTTCCCTGGAACCCTTGCCTCCCCTGGGAGGGCAAGGAACAAAAATTGTCCCTTTAAGTTCCCTTTGATCAGATTAGGGTGGGGTTTAAATATGGTTATTAAATATCCAAGAAGGTCAGTTGCACCAGTCTGGTACTTTTAATTACTGTGTAATATGTAGATAAATCTTAAGTAGAAACCATACATCTTTAAATAAACCTTGACTAGACTTATGTTTTGTTCTTTAAGTTAGTCTTCATAGGAATTAATTTAAGGTTTGACCTTAAGAAGCTTAAGATTACTTAGTAGATTTA